GAAGCCGGAAGACCGCAGTTGATGCGATGTGAACAGTCTCCTCCGCCCCGCTGGCCCGGCCCACTTGATAAATTGGTGCTGAAAACCGTTCAATGGAACGTATCATTATTATTATTATCATTATTGTTGGTGAGTTGCTGTTGTCGTTGACAATGATGATACTTATTATTGGGTTACTTGTCCTCCGACCATCCACGTCAAGTTTATTACAAAGTGCAACAGGAATTACAAAGGTGCGACAGAACAAACCTCCCACTAACTCGAAGTAATTTTTGTTTCCCTTCAGATCATTTCTATACAATTTTACCCCGATAACAAGAACCATGTTATAAGCGCGTAACAATTGTCGGGATAAAAACGGTGTACTGAAGTCCGAAACATTGAATATATTTCAAAACAAATTCTTTGTCTTTACTATTTTTTCACTCCAGTTCAAATTCAGCGTCCATTCCTGTATACTTTGTCGCTTAATTGCACGCATTCCCTCCCCATCCACTTGCTTATTTTTCTTATTTCCGGTTATTTTCTTCAAATTCCCTATAACTCGAACTTTTTTCGATTTCCCATGAAGGTTCGAGTTATCGGGAGTTGACTGTAGTGCTTGTGCTTGAATTCGATAACCAATGAAATTTTAACGATATTCTTAGGGATTTCCTTTGAATTCCCTCATATATAGGAAACTGACAAGAGCATTAATCTTTCAGAAACAATATACAAAGGTTTATGAGGCCAGCTTACCCATTGTGGCTAGTTCCCACAGAACAATTCCAAAAGACCATCTGCAATAAAAGGTAGCAGATATAGATAAAGACGGGCTACATTCATGCAATTATCAAATTTGATCTCTCCCCCAACCTAGTTCCCAGGGTTCTCTTTCGCCAGTCCCATTCCCTGGAACGAGGTTGTCTCGCCTCACGGAAATCCGGCTGCGAAAATTTTTGCTCTAGAATCTGGAATTTCGGAATCCAGCTCTAGGAATCCGAAATCTTACTAACGATTAAATCCGGAATAGACGATTGAGTAGGAGTACGGAAGCCAGCAGAATGTGGAATCCAGGATCTACATCATGGGGCGACTTATCGGTTTAAACATTTCTATCTATACATCCCATATTAGTATATACACACTCAGTGATCTTGGTGTTTTAAGCAATCTCATTTGTTCGATATCTCGGGCTATTCAACATTAGTATATACACACTCAGTGATCTTGGTGATTTAAGCAATCTGATTGGTTCGCTATCTCGGACTATTCAACAATATTCACCTCCTAGCGAGTGGATAATGTGTGAGCTCAGTGTTTTTCCCATTTTTTAGAGAACGATCTTTTAAAAGTCGACAGAATCCTAGGGCTGACTTTTTTTAAGGCAAGAAAAGACTTGGAAGGATTCAATACGGCGTTTTTCAATTTACTGTAGCAGGAGTTTTGTGCTCGATGGATTGTTTACAACTCCCGTGTATTCGCGTAGAAGAAGCCGTTGCGTGAACTCAGCGTTTTCTAAGAAGAAAATTTTGGCTCAAAAATCGAAGCTTATTTATGACAAACAAATTTAAAAGGAAATGTTTGCAGAAATTCTACGTTTCAAGTAAACAGGAAAGAGAATGATACAGAAAGACGACGTCTTACCTCGAGCAACTGAGCCGCCATTTTTGTCAGCACTTCATGCGAAGAACGACACAACAAACCCTTTTGGCTATAAACTTGGCGAGTCAACAGAAAACAACACAGCTCTACATTTCTTCTCAAGTAAGGAAACAGTTCAAACTTTTAGCGGTTCCATTTAAGCCATTACGCTGTTGTTTGCGAAATGATAAACTTGTGCATTGCCATGTTTGAAATTTCTGCAAAGATCTATTTTTAGACTGTCGCGTGTCTAGCTGACCTGATCTGTCAATCAAATTGTACTTTTTAATGGTTTCCTCCCTGATTTTGTTGAGATCACTTCGTGTGTATATACTAAAACAATTATTCTTTTCAATCTCGGTGAATAGTGGCTTTGGGAATATTTACCTCGCCGCTTTCGCGTCTCGGTAAATATTTTGCCACTATTCACCTCGATTTCAAAGAATAATTGTTAATTATTATTCATTCAAAATATTTCCCCAATTCTGATTGGCTAGAAGAACACGCATAATTCACCATAACCAGTAACTGATGACCAAATTTGGAAGGATTTTGTGTTTAACGAGGAAATGACGTCAAAAATGCAGCCCTCTGCAGGTTAATGCACCGTTAACCGAGAAGGCCTGGGGACGAGGTAGACGTGTTTTCGTTGTGAAAACTAAAATGGCGGACACTTCACTCGTTTCAAGAGTAAGAACTACAGCTGGAACTAGGCGAAATAATGGCTAAAAACATAGCAAAAACAGCAAGAAGACAACTAGTAGGGTGACATCTGCTATTTGGAGAATACATGTATTTGCGGAGCAAACTTAACATCGATGCAGGTAAGCATGTTTTAGCTGTGTTTTTAAACTAGGAATTATTTTGAATGAATAATAAAGCAATTAAAGAATTCGGCTTTCGTAGGATATGAAGAATTAAGCAGATCGGGAGGGTGTTATTTAGCCTCGGTGGATAATACCCTCCGAGATCTGCTTAATTCTTCATATCCTACGAAAGCGGAATTCATTAATTGCTAAATATTCACCTCCGAGCGAGTGGATATTGCGTAATTCGTGATCTTGAAAACAAAAACAAAATGGCGGGCGTAAACTCGCGTTTCGCTAAAGTTTCAGAAGCAGAAATTTTACAAATTAATACAAGACGAGGCTGTGCTTGAAAATACAAAGAAGGCAACTAAGTATGGGCTGGCAGTGTTAAAAAGTGTTTGGGGGTTTTATTTTGCTGACAACTGCCAATAAGCTTGAGTGACATTCATAACTTTTCACATCAAAAATTTGTTACAATATGAGTAATTTCTTTGTAGATTGGTTTTCCCAGCAAGACGAATTTACAACAGATATGGAAGCGATGAACAAGGAGGAATTAAATAAATGCTTACGGAAATTTTATATGTCTGCAAGAAAACAGGACGGAGGTTATTATGATGAAGCAGCACTTACCTCGATCAGATCCGCCATTGATCGGCACTTGTGCAACGAGCCACACAACAAGCCATTTTCGATAATTAGCGACAGCCAGTTCACAGAAGCGAACGAAGCTCTAAATTCGTTTCTGAAAACTCTGAGCAAGTCATGTCAAATTTATTCTACAGTCCAGAAACCAGCACTAACAATAGAAGCAGTTTCAAAGCTCTACGAAGCCAGCGAGCTAGTTAGATGCAAGATGCCTCGATCCACAAAAGCTACAGCAAACAGCGTGGTTTTTTATAACCCTCTACTCTGGTCGAAGAGGAAGGGGAAACCAGCATCAATTGACAAAATCAAGCCTAAAGCTCTCCAAAACCCCAAATTCAGGCCTGGAATATTTTGAGCTTAACAGAGACGCCAGGAGGAGTCTTTTCAACCAAAATCAGCAAGGTGGTCTTATAGACGGCACCTACGACCCGTCTGATGGTAAAATGTTAGAAGGCAAAGGGCTTGCTAACTGTCCAGTACCAGTAGTGAAGGCTTACCTGTCCCATTTAAATCCAAAATGAGAAGCACTTTTTCAGAAGCCTTTAACTGGTGCTAAAATTAAACCATTTTCTGATGTCATTTGGTATTCAACACTTCCTCTAGGCCATAACACGATCGACAGCATGATGGAGAATATGTGCCTCCGAGCTGGTATCGATCTTCCTTTCACAAATCACTGTGTCAGGTCGACCACTGTAAATATTTTGTCTTCTAAAGATATGAAAAATCGCCACATCAGAGCGGTCACGGGCCACAAAGGCGATGCCAGTTTGGAATCCTACAACGATCGTCCAACGTTCGAGCAGTTCAAGCGCCAGTTAAGGAGACAAGGTAAGAACCAAGGCACGACCAATTCGTGTAAGGCTTTAATCAAACTGGAATACAACTAACAGCCGAGTAACAGTAACAATATGGCGGACGCTAGGATACGCATACTAAGTCTTAGTACCGCTGACTGGTACTGGCGAAGGAAATGTCTTCGGCGATTACAGATTTCATCAGTTTCTTCAGACCTGACCATCAAGTCGCCATTAACCCGCTAGCAGAAGTGAATCGTTCTCCCTTGGAAACAGTATCCAAAGCAATTCACTCAAGCACATCCACAAATGTCCAGGAGAAGATTTTTGTTCAAGAAAACAATTCGACTAACGCTGCACATGGCATCATTTCTGGTGGCTCCTTCTCCAACTGCTCGTTCAATTTCCACTTTAATTAAGTAAACTTTAAAAGAGGATTTTGGATGTTTTTTTTCAGTTCAGACTATTAATTTAGGCTTTCTTTGAGGCCATTTGGAGCATTTTGAAAACAATTTGTGAAAAAAAAAGCTCCAGCAGAGATTTACCACGTTTGAACTTGCTTTTTTTTAACTCTTGCGCATGCACTGTGTATTCATCACGCATTAATTGACATGTCAATAAATTGCCTTTAAATGGTTTTCTTTTTAATATTGTCGAAATCACTTCGTATGTATATACTAAAACAATCATTCTTTTTAATCTCGGTGAATAGGGGCTTTAAGAATATTTACCTCGCCGCTTTCGCGGCTCGGTAAATATTGAGCCACTATTCACCTCCTTTTCAAAAAATAATTGTTAGATATTTTTCAAGAGATACAATGATAATTGCGGCTACAGATAGTGTCATGATCAAAATTGCGCTCTTCTTTCAGACAGCTATCTATCCTAAACAGTATATTGCAGGGTTTATCACATCGGGGACCTCAATGTATGTGTTGGCAGACTACGAAGACACACAGCATCACAGGTAGCCCAAGCTTGGGCTACCTGTGACTGAATTAGCATATACTTACACGTCAGTCTTGAATGTAAAAATGCCGCTTTCCAACGCTTCAGGTGCCATCCATTTCATTGGTAGCTTATTTACACTTGTGACTTCGTATAGTTCACTCTCATTTGTGTGACGCAACAAACCGAAATCAGCAATCTTTACCGCCTTGTTTTCACCAAGAAGGATATTACGGGCTGCCAGATCGCGATGAACGAACCCTTTGCTGACTAAATATTCCTGGAGGAGAAATAGCAAAACTTAATTCTCAAACAACTTTTACTTACCACGGAAATAACTTTAGATCAACACAAATTTCTATTTGATTGGTCAAATAAACGCATTAGTACGATCTTCCATAGGGTAAAAATTCTCGTAAAGTTTTACAGTGCGACGGTGTCTCAAATAGGGCTGCACCCAACATTAATCCGCCAATCACAAATCACGTTCATAACAAACGCGTCTGACTTCTGTACTTCTTTAGCCAATCGAAAACAGGTCACGACAAAGGCGTTTCTCATGGCAGTTCATAAGGCAACTAAGAAAACGAGTAAACCGCCTTAATTTACCCATTGTCTCTGTTTCTGATCGAGCTCGTTGCCCTGACTCTCATCTCTTACCTATTGAATAGGCTTCAACAGGTACTAATTGCCTCCCGGTAACACCACGGTAACACAAATACTGAGAGGTTAGGTGGCTCCTTATACACTCAAACGCATTCAGTTCTATTAGATTCTTAATATAACTGTCAAAGCCCTTTGAAGGCTGTGCCGCTCCCCTTTTAGCCTGAAGTTTTAAAAGTCTTAAAGTCTTAAAAGAATCTAAAATGTCAACCCCTTCGGCAATAAATGAAAACAGAGTCAGTACAACAACCAGGCAGAGTCCTGTCAATGACAATATGGTAAACAAGCAAAGAAAATAGCAAGCTGAGAGTTGTTTTGGTTGTCAGTTTAACATGAATTTATTAGCCGGCTAGTATGTCTTTGGTTCATTGGCCAATTTTTTGTCCCCGCCCCCAAATTTGGCATAAAATTGTGTGATTTTTAATATGACGAATTGGAACTCACAGCATGGCATATTCCCCTGAGAAGGAAGGCGATATTGGATTAGCTTAGAAGGAAAAATAAAGATCGTTTTCCCAAGTTTATACAGTTCCAGTAGTTTACAGTTGTGGCCTTTTAAGTTAGCTTTACGTGCTTAACTGAAGTCTTTGAATTTTTGGGCAATTTCACGTCGAAGTCGAGCGGTGAAGGACAATGAATGTATTCAGCGTTAAACAGTAGTGCTACAGACGATGAAAACAATACCGTAATGTAATGATTGAAAGTACCTGTCTATAAATATATAAACTCGGTTTTTGGCCTTCTTTTAAATCAAACGGCTGAATTTGACATGTGGTATATTTCACGAAACTTCAGCCAGATAGTAGTTAGCCATAATAAAAGTCATTCATATTAAAATTCTTAACGCAGCAAATTGAATGCTTGAAAAATCCGCCGTCTTATGAGCGGATATCATATAGAGCGTTTTCACATGAAGTCACGGCGGCCATATTGGTTTTCCAAAACAATTAAACGACGGCCATGTTGGTGTTCCAAACCAATCCTTTGGGAGTTGAACTCTTGTCTTATGTAAACGCTTTCTTTTGTTCCAATAAAATTGCATAGATGCTGGCCACGTGGGTGAAAACGCTCTATACTCGTAGACACAGAAAAACTAGTAAGAGGGAAGAGGTAGATTTTTGTGATTTGTAATACCACATTGCTCAAGGCATCCTTCTGTCGAAAAATTTCTTACCATCCCCTTTGCAATCTGCCACGCATAACACAGAACTTCTTTTCCAGAAATGACTTCCTCTTCATCTTCCTTGCCTTCACATGTGTCTTCTTCTTTCTCGATGGTGATCGTGTTTCTTGGGGGCTCAGTTATAGTGTGTTCTTTCCCTTTGGCGAAATGGGCAATACTTATCGAAGGTAACACCATCACCGACGTAACTGGCTCCTTTTGTCCTTCATTTTCTGGAAATGACGCGTTGAAATCGTCACTTTCTTCTTCCTCCTTGTCACCTTCGTATCCTTGGTTTAACCATGCAGATTCCATCTCAGATGGTGGGGCATCGCTGATTAGAGCACTTGTATCGTCGTCGTTCAGGTCGATTTTAATTTCTTTGATTTTGTTGGAACCACAATCCTCATCTTTTCTATTTTCTTCACTTTTCCTTTCCATCGTCTCCTCTTCTACGTTTTCATCTAGGCTATCTTTTGTTTGGAGGTTTTTGAACGTCACTTTTGGTCTTTCGTGAACAGGGGGCTTGAACCTTTCAACGAGATCATTCTGTTGACTCCTCTTCTTTGCAAGCTGAAAAGAATTTGAAATAAATCGAGTTAATAAAAAAAACGTTTGCAGAAACAATTCACTGACCATAAAATAGTTAGCCTGAATCTTGGACGTCTGAGGTCAATCGCTGCCCTTCGCTTGTCTCGGAGAGGGAGAGAAGCGAAGGGGCCGCAAACGACCTCAGCCCATAGCCCATTTTCTCTTGAAAATAGTTAACCGAAATATTTGTAATCCATTCAAAGGAGTCTTTAAAGGGACATTTAAACGGAAAGAAAATAAGTTAGAAAAGGTATACAGGCAAACCATACAGTTCGTTTGCTTATAATGGGGTTATAGGCACCCTGTCTTACTGGTGGACCATCTGGTATTTCCTACTACTAGTATTCCCTCCATATTTTAATTTTTATCAATATTGTTATTATATACTAAAATCTCTATTTTTGTTTTCAAATTCTTTTCCTTACCGCTGCTACAAGCCAAAAACAAGTTGAGTCCGTCTCGGCCTCTCAGCGAGTGTTTGAAAGACTAAAATTGATGGATGTTGAGAGGCGCGCTGCAAACTAACGAGCCGCTGCGCAAAAAAGCTGTTCAATTAACCTTGGATACCTCACAGATAAAATATAAACACCTTTGATAAAAAAGTGAACAAGCTAGAACAGTTCAAAGACGACCTATTCTGCTCGCATTATCGAAACGTTGAAAGTAAGCAAGGTTTGAGGGAGAATATCTCGAAAGTTGCGGCCTAAATCAAGCATGAAAAACACATTAAAGTAATGTTTTAAGCATATTTTACCGTTTTATGGGTTAAAACGTGCGGGTATCCCTTGAGATCACAAAGCGATAAGAGATTAAAATCAGCAAATAATGCGTGTTTGCATAGTTATCGGCCGTGTCAGAGGTCGCGATCATATGACTTTTAAAATTTACAAAGTGTTTGTTTTAGGGCATTATTTCGCCTGGATTGACACCAATGAATCGAAAAAGGCATTGGAAATGTTTGTATTTAAAACTAAAACCGGAACGTATTTTTAGATTGCACCATGTTAAATTATTTCATGAGCGGGTATAAATGGACAAAGTAAACAACGGCTGCTCTTTCTTGTGTGTATGAGAAGTTCATTAGTGTTTTGTTGTCCTTTATATTTCGTTCTTTCAGATAATGTCAGGCTAATCTAAAAGGGAAAAACAGAAGTAAAAAATAACTTTAAATAGCGTTTTTCCTTTCTTGAACTTGCGAAAGTCAAACTATTGCAAGCAGCAAATTACTGACCAGAGATAATCGCTCAATTGAAAAATTACTACTGAGCTGCAAAAAAGAAACATTACTGTATTTCGCGAAGAAAGGACATAATATACGTTTTTTGACACCGAATCTCATGAAGACTTGGAGCTTTTATCGTTTTTATGTGGAAAAATTCATGAGTGGTACTTACGTATTTTTAATACGTAGATCAGCAACAAGCAGCTTGGCACTTCGGTATTTTAGTTAATAAGGCCGTCAAAATGTCAATAAGTCAGGGCAGGTCGCACGCACGCCAAGTGATGTTTCTTATGAGACGAATATCTCTGTTTTTCAAGTTTCTTAATTTACTATCTGAAAGATTGTGTACAGTCAAGGCCAAATAATAAATAAAATTCCATATCGCAACAAGTACATATACATGGGCTGAACTGTAAGTATAATGATTTTCTGGAATCTGGATCTGGACGTTTGGATTAAATATGTTACAAGAGAAAAAAAGGTGACGTGGCTTCAGATCAGAGCTACTGCAAGAAACAATTTTTCTTGGCCGAAAATCACTTTCTGTAAATTATACATTGACAGAAATCACTTCTCCTTCAAAAACGGAAGTTTCCCAAGGAGACTTTGACCCTTTTAGCCTCTCTATTAAATTTTATAGGCAAAGGCCCTTTTATGAATTCAGTTCCGGATCCATTTTCAATTCCCTGTTCTATCATTTCCTTTACAAACATTCGAAAACACTGACAACAAACGCGTAATAAAGAAGAAGTTACGTTTGTGAAAGATGGCTGCATGCTTTATGAAAACCAAAGACAGCTCTGGGTGTGGAGAATTCAGAGGACAGAAATCACTAACATCGCTGCTGGAATGTACCTCTGATATTTCCTGCCACCTAAGGCGCTGCCATCTTTCAAGGGAAAATATTTCCGGGTACCAGCTACTTTTGAATCGTGCATGCCAATTTCACCTAAGCGAAGGAAATATAGCAGAAATGTCCGTGTGTCCTCGGCATCGAGGAAAATTGGGAGCATACTGGAAATGCCCAACAACTGCTTGCCAGTACCCTGATCACAAGGGAAAACAAGAAGCGGTAAAAGGAGACCGAGTTTTCAATGTCCAGATGGCAAGAGATATATTTCAAGTTTTCGGAGTTACTATTCCAATTGGATCACGTAAGCAGTTTTTCTGTGATATAGAATAAATTTAACTTTTATGCAGACGAAAAAGGTACTAAATATGAAAATGAAACAACGTGTAGTCACATTATCAGTTTGATATGTTCCTTCTGTTTGCTGTTGTGGTAAGGCGATTTATGTTTTGGAGTACAAAGTAACGGTTCTTTCCCGGTAACCGGGGTGAGGGGTTGGGGGATTTCAAGGTAACGGAATCTTGAGTTGTTTTGCAACCTCGTTCCCAGGTCTCTCTTCTTCTCTAATCGTCCTTTCCCGAGGTTGTTTTAGGTTTTTATTAACAGCAACTGCCTTTCACCACTTAAAAAATGTAGAGGGTTAAGAGCACAAACCTCTACTCCTGGTGACCTAGTTTCTTACATCTTTGTGTGTCTGATGTAAGCAAGAGAAATTAAATAGCATAAAACAAGCAACCACAATATTGTCTGTTAGGGAAGAGTCTGTGGCAACCCTTGTCACTCTTTCTCTGCATTTTTTTAGCCATCTGTAACAGTTGTAGAAAGCTTCATGCTAGCAGACTTAAGACTGAATGGCTTTGGCTGAGAGAAACGAAAAGTACTGAAACGGAAGATACCACTGATACAATGGAAGAAACCGAACCAAACTTATCAAGGTATTGATTTCTGACGATTTCTTGTGTTCTCTTCCTTTAATAAAACAAATTCTTAGAACGCGAGGAGGAAGTATGACAAACTCTAAGAAAGTAAAAATGTCCTTGAATATAAAAGATTGGCTGCTCAAAGCTCAGTTAATTTTGGTTTAGATACCTACTGTACATTCATCCTCTGTAAGAAAAAAAAATACAATTTTCTTTTGACTTATTTGTCTGTTGACTTCCCTCTATAGAAAAACCAAAGAAGAAGCACTTGTTTCTATTGAGAGTTGCATTTACACTCCCGTACCAGAAAGTCATACTAAGAATGATCCTGCCTGGTCTCTTGGACGATGGCAAGCAATGAATCCTGACAGTTCGTTCGATGATGAGTCCCCTGAAAACGAATCTGATGTTCTTCAAGTATACAATGAGGCACTCAGTAACATTGCCTCGCTTTCGGGAAAAACTGTGGAGCCCCTGACTTTCCGACTTAACTCCGAGTGGGACGAGGCGACTAAGAAAGAAAAAGAACTTTGCATAGAGCAGGTGAACGAAGCATGTCGTGCTGTTTGTGACGTCATTGCTCCAAAGGACAGTGATAAGCTGTTACGATCATTTCAAGAATCAAGAAGGGAAGTAGGTTTCTCTAGCGACCTCAAAGCATTAGTAACTGCATATCAGCAAGCACCATCAAGGAGCCTTAAAATCCAGATACTCAGCATCTATGCTACTCGTTACCCAGCCCAATACTTGAAGAAAATACACGAACCATTTGAAAAGCTTAGCGACCGGCAGATAAAAAGAGCAAGAGCACACGCCAAAATTGTTGGAGTTGGACTGTCCGTTGAGAAACCGCTGCGCCACCGGGTTAAAATTGATTTGGTGAAGTTGGATCACTTTCTGTCTTTTGTTAACCAGCCGTACTTCTACCAAGACGTGGCTTATGGAACCAGGACGCTGAAGCTAGATTCAGGAGAAGAGTTACTTATGCCAAATGTGATCAGAATTGTTGCGAGGTCAACGATGATAGAGCAGTATTTAAAGCATTGCAGCGAAGATCACTTTGAGCCTCTTTCGAGATCGACGTTGTTTAGAATATTGCAAGTCAGAGAAGCTTCTCAAAGAAAATCGCTTCAAGGACTGGATAACATAGCTGCAGGAGGCGCTGAAGCGTTTGAAAGTGTGCGCAAGATAGTAGATGACTTGAAAAACTGCGGCGCAAGTGGAACTTGGTGCGATGAAGTGCAAAATAAACTTAAAAGTGGAAAGCGCTACCTCAAGACAGAATATAGAGTGCATTGCCGTGAAGAAGAAAGCTTATGTGCTGATCACTGCAGATACTTTGCTCTTAGTGACTTACAAGATCCAGAACTCAGCGAACATTGTCCGCATCAACATCAAGTGCGCTGTATCGAGTGTGAGCAATTGAAAGTAACATTAAAGGCCATCGCTGATCAGATTGAGTCTCCTTCCATTAAATATTATAGCGGTGAACAGAAAGAGGACTTCAAGCATTTTCTTGCCCAAGCCCAAGAAAGAATTTTTCAATGGAAGTCTCACATTTTAAGAGCAGAGAACCAAGAGCGGGCAAAGCAAGATGTACTAAAATCTCTCCAGGATAACTCGGTCATGGTCGTAATGGATTGGGCCATGAAATTCTTACAGATAAAATATCGAGAAAAGCAATCCGAGTGGTTCGGTAAGAGAGGAATCAACTGGCATGTCAGTTGCGTTATTTCGAAGAATACAGCAGATGACAGCCTCCAGGTTCAGTCATACGTCCATTTATTCGATAGCTGTGCACAGGACTGGTACACCGTTTGCGCAATTTTGGAGCATCTTCTCACAATCATCAAGGAAAACAAGCCAGAAGTCAATCAAGCCTTCTTGCGCTCGGACGGAGCGGGCTGCTACCACAACAGCAATCTAATTGCTGCTGTCCACGACCTTGGTGTTCGAGTAGGAGTAAAAGTTATGAGGTAAACAAAGAGGTTGTCTTATGATAAAATATACAAATAAATTACAGTTCACTCTAAAACTGAGTCAAAGCAGGTAGCCTGTTTCAAACTTCTCCTTTACCAATTTAGAACGAATCGACTACAAGTTGCAGTTGCGGCCAGGTTATAATTCATGAACGATTACTCAAACTGCACACAAGATATAATGAAATACTGACTGCCAACCCAAAGTTTCATTTATCATTTTTAGCGAAAACAATTGATACGTGATTGCAGCAAACCGATTGAAAATTCTGATCTTTAAAAAATTACTTATTATATGATATCTCGCTTTTGCCTGAGTATTTTTCCAGGTTTTGTCGAAAAAGTACTTACAGCCCTAATGCCAGTTGAACGTAGCTAGATTAATATTTATGGTGGTCCTTCGTATTATACGTATACAGTTTAAGATTAAACAGTTAGAACTCGGGCCTTGTAACGCTTGTAATAATGTAGGTTCAATTGTATTAGAAAAGTACGGCCAAGGTAGCTGCGGCTTTATTTTTAATTTTAGGTATGACTTTTCGGAACCTCAATTTGGCAAAGATGTCTGTGATCGCATCATCAGCCCAATAAAGGGGGCCATTCGCCGTTACTGCAACGAAGGACATGATATCCTGACAGCATCCGACATGCACGAGGCGCTTAAGGCAAGGCAAGTAGAGGGAACAACTGCTGCTGTTTGCCAAGTCTCCCAAACAACTCATGAGATAAAAGTCGACCGCATCAGTAATTTCAGTAGCTTTCACAATTTTTTTTATGAAGAAGAAGGGCTTCGCATTGTGAAGGCGTATGGTGTCGGTGTGGGTAAACTTATTCCATGGTCACAGCTTATCCGTCGCACACAAGGTCCTACATCAATAAAGGAAGTTCATAATCATGAATTTTACCCCTTGGCATCTAGGGCTATTAAGGCGACTCCCAGCGACGATGAAGGCGCTCGTGATAACTCTCTTTTCATGTCTCCCGAGTCCTGCTGTTCCAGGGAGTTCTCTACAGCAGAGGAACTTCAAGACCACATTCATTTTGGTGAGCACGACATGAAAGTAAGCCCCGAGAGCATGTACGACCGTCTTAAGCGCGATTGGGCAGCAAAGGTTCTATCTATAACACTTGAATCAAAATTGTCGTTCACCGCTGAAGAAGCAACAGGCAGCGAGCAATTACAGGAAGAACCTTGTGGTTTGGGTTGGGCGCTACAAAAACCAAGAGGAGGAGGTGCTAGGTTTTCTGAAAATGTAAAAAGCTACCTCACAGCAAAATTTGACCTTGGTGAGGACACAGGTAGAAAAGCCGATCCTACCCAGGTGGCTGCTGACATGCGGGTAGCAAGAAACACTGATGGTGAGCGTAAGTTTCAAAGGAGTGAATGGTTGACGAAGAGCCAAATACAAGGGTTTTTTTCACGGCTTGCAGCCAGCAAAAGGCGGACGAACAAACAAGAATTGGAGGATGACGACGATCATGATGACAGCCTTGCCGAAAAGGAAAGACATATGGAAGTAGAGGAGGTTGTCAGCAAAATTGGACTTGTTCATCCTATAACACATAATGGCTACGACATCTGCGAGCTCACAAAATTGGATGCACTCTCTAACTTAACCGTACCTAAACTTAAGGCCATCTGTGTGAACCTAGACCTTCCTTTTAAGGCTAAGGACGTTAAGACCACTTTAATTAACAAATTAAAGGAAGCTGTCAAGGAATGTGAATGCCACAAGTAGGAAATCGGCGACATGACTGAACACTGGAATGGTAGAAAGTCTTTTTAATGTGGTCGATTGTGTCCTAAAAAATATTATGCTATCCTAGAATAGTCGTGCCGTGTTTGTAGCATTTAATTAAACTGCAAGTTGCAGTTGCATTTCTGACCAAAAGTGAACATATTTGCCTAATGAAATTTTGAGTGTTAGCCATACAGAACATTATTGTTAGAGCGACATTTCATTCTATTTTTCAAGGTTGTTGTCTAAATAGACTTGAGTTGAATTCAAATGTTTAACAATTATGATTAGTAACCTGGCTGGGTGGGGTAAAAGGTTTGATGGGTTTTTAGTCTTTCATATATTCCTAGAATATACCACTGAAAAGGTCAAAGTGTTTATTGAGACAAACATGTATGGATAGGCCTAAAAGTGCAGGTACACAGATTCTTACAATTTATATGTAGAGTACTTCAACGTGACATCTTTTGGCCTGCTGATATAAACGATACCATGCCGTCAAAAATGACTTAACCTACAACGTTCCAGGGGTTAAAACGCACTTTGTACTTTTTAAAGAGGAAAAACGCGTTGAGTTAGGGTCTATTTCCTGTGGAATAAGAGTATTTTATTTGTAATTAGTTGATCACAGAGATTTTGGCGTTTTCGGCCCGGGGGGAAGAGGTACTTAGGATAATTTTTGTTGGGTATACCTTATCAATCCTTTAAATAGGTTCGTGACCCATTTTTTACATTGAATGAAGAACACTTTACTTTTCACCTACAATACAAACGTTCTGGAACGTTTGCTATCCGTAAATATGAAGAACCGTCTTGCCCCATAAAATCCGAAAATGTGCGACATTATTCTAGTAACTCCATTGAAAATGCGACGATCATTATAGTCAATCCAGTCGTGAAAATGCGACCCCATCCAGCGGCACATCCCCAATAGCCATATAAGGAAGTACCCATCCCCCGACGGGGGGTTTCAGTAACACCACATGCGCGATACATTCAACCAAAATTTCCGGAAATTTCGGTCCAAAACTCAATGGATCGGTTCGGTCCAACCAGAAAAGTTTCGAAAAAACGGGTCCACCTTTTGAGGTGGACCACTTTTCCCGGTCGGACCGGTTGGAATTTCGGTTGAATGGATCGCGCCCCACAAGTTACGAAGCGACGTGACCATATAACAGCACGTGACAATCACGCTATGATTTGATTGTGATAATATAACGTATAACGTAAGGCTAGCTGGTTAGGCGTCAGTAAATTCAATTCAACTGCTGGCTTGCTGAATAAATTTCTTTCATCAAGAACCTAAAGCAAAGGTAAGCTTCTTATTTGCCGAAAAAAGATGAAGCAGTGTATACCGGCTTTGTTTCAAATGATAGTTGGCAGTCTGATTTTTACAATTGTTTGTACCGCGGCGAGTTTCACACTACTGAAATGGTGGAAAGAACTAAAAAAATTTCATTGCTTTTCTTGTATAGATTTGTCTTCCCGGTTTGTCATCCCTATTCTCATCATCGATAAAGCTTGAATCAACTTCTGATTTAGACACAGTAGAGTGGACCAACTATGGTTCAATATGTATGTATGCCCGCCAGTTGATCGTGGTGATCGTTATATTGATAAGCATGACGATCCCTGTTAATAATCTCTTTCGGTTTAAAAGTGTTTAAAGCAGTTCATTATCTGACTTTTAGATGCTGCAGACGAATTTAAGTGTCAAAAACGGCAATTTCGTGGAACTTTAAACCTCTACAATCGTGACATCCAACACGGCCGTTAATTATGCAAATACGCACCATGTCAGATTACAATGTCTTGTCGTCTGCAATCCCAAAAGATACCCACAAGTCTGAGCCTATAAACCAATAAAATAGGTTTAAAACTTACTTTTATGTGTTTTTTATCCTTGATTTAGGCCGCAACTTTTGAGATTTTTTCCCTCAAACCTTCCTTACTTTCAGGGTTTGAATTAAGCCAGTAGAATAGGTAGTCTTTGAACTACTGTACCTCGTAACTTATTTTGTCAAAGATGTTTACATTTAGCCTGTGAACTATCTGAGGTCAACTTATAAAACTGTATGAAACAGATTTTTTGTGCATGCATTCGTTCGTTTGCAGCGCGCCTCTCAAAATGCACCAATTTTGATCTTTCGATTATCCTCTGAGAGGCCGAGACGGACTCAATTTGTTTTTGGCTCGTAGCAGCGGTAAGAAAAAGAATTTGAAAACAAAAATAGCGATTTTAGTATATACATACCAAAGCCTCTTCACCATCAAAAAATAAAGGAAAACTATTTTTGGTCGCGAAGTCGAGTGGACCGCTTTTAGGGAGACTGTCTCTTAAGCGGCCAGTTTTCAAAGTCCCGATTTTTCGCTCATACAACCGCTGTTTTTGTTACCTGTATTACGCGGCCACCTCTATTAAGCGGCCGCGGCCCCTCTGTAGCAGTCCTATGTTTGTCTTTTCTTGTTATTTTTACCTGTATTAAGTGGCCACCCTTGCAAGGAGACTAAGCCATATGTCATTTTATGCTACGTTATAACTGCACATTGAACGTAACAACTATAAACTAACGGAATTAGATATTTTGTTGTGGACTTTAAGTCATAAAAATACAGTACTGTATACCGTAGAAGAGTAGAGGACAATTTATTGCACAGTGCTTTTACACAATGTTACGTATACATTATACCGTTGAGTTACAAGTTGGCACTGAGCTTCGTTTAAAGTATTGATCGCTTTGTCCAATTGTTGCTTGCATTAGACCACGTCCAGTGAGTATTTTTAGTGATCCTGTATTAAGCCTCCACCTGTATTAAGAGGCCAGTTGCTCAAGTCCCGAGGGTGGCCGTTATATACAGGTTCGACTGTATGATGTAAAGAGGGCGCGTCTTATATATTGTCCTCTAATCCGCGCCATCATATTATATTACATTACGTTAAAACTACGGTCGTCACCATGTTGTTACTACGAGACATTAGCCACTAAGCACTCTGAATTTCGAGAAAAATAGTCAGAAGTTTGGGAAAAATCTACAAGACTATAAAGTAGTACTTTGTCCTACTAGAGGCTAGGGGACAAAATTTAATATCTACTAGCAATCGGGTAGGAAGAAGAAAGATTACGACTAACAACGAAAAGAAATGAAATATCATTCCGACTGCTGTTTTGTCGAATGTTTTCCGCCATTTTATGCCCGAACAACAGAACCGTGATGTCATAAGCACTTTCCAAATCTGGGGGCTCTTCCGGACTATATTGAGGACGGCTTCCTGGCTCAAACAAGTGAATAAAAGTTACATCGCCTTATTCTGTAAGCAAGGACCCGTGGCTTGACTGAGAAAAAAAGGGAACACTAGACAGACACACACACCGACAAAATTGTTATCGTCTATCAAGAGATAAAGAATAGCTCATCCTCTCTTCCGTCTATTTAACAATTACCGGTATTTCACGAGTGCGCGTTGGATATGAGATGGTAGTAGCCCACAAGGCGCGTAGCGGCGAGTTGGCTATAATCATCTCTTATCCAACAAGCGCGAGTGAATAG